GTTCTGCAATTGATAATTTTCTTTATTTTTTGTATAACAATTTTCTTCACAAACTAAAAACAGTGTTGAGGTTAAGCAGTCAGATTTAAGGACTTAGTTTTCATAGATAAAATCCTATTAAACAGGAATTCAGCCCCAGAGCTTTTTTTTCCCAGTATCCTTCTGGAAATGTTTTGGATTTCTCCCAAATCATCCAAACATGGACAGAGAGCAGAACATGTTTTGTACTTCCATAATGACTGATGTGCTCTAATGTTGTAGGCTGAATTGATTTTAATCCAGTAAACAGAAACCCTTCAGGGCCTCCATGTTGAAAATCAAAACTCTAGACAACATTTTGCATACAGAATCTGCGAGATACATATTTAAAAAATTGTCTCACTGTTAAGTTGGATATATTTTAGTTCAAGGGATTAAATAATGGTCGGTGTTACTCTCTAAAACTCAGATAATTTGTTTTTACAGCAGTTAGTTTTTCACAGAGATGGCTGACACAAATGGTCAGTCTCCATTCAGCTTCGTAAGCACTTTTAGGACGAAAGAGGAGACCTGACACACTGCAAAAATGATCTAGAAATAAGTAAACATTTCTTAAATTAGGTGTATTGCCCTTAATTTAAGCAGGTCATTATGATGATCTGTGAAATAAATAAGTATTTTTACTCTTAAAATAATATAATTTAATAATATGCACTTGAAATAAGACAATTCAATTGTTTTCCTTGTCTTAAAAGTGAATTGTCTTTTTCCATTGGCAAAGTGTCTCATTTACCTCCTTAATTCAAGAACAAGTGCACTTATATTAAGAGAAAACGACTTATGTAGATTTAAACTTTTTCCAGTGTAGCAAACAGAACTTCAAATATGTTATTAATTATTTCTATTAACAGCCATGTGTGTCATCTGCTCTTTGACATCCAATAGAAAAAACAGGTTTAAACCCCTCCAAAAAATCTACACTGTCACCAAGTCCATGTTTTTTTATTATTAAGATGGATTTGTTGTTGAAATGTTAGACATTCTTCTGCACCAATGTGTGACTATGACTACAAAAAGCTTGAAGTTTTGAAGATTGACTGTTTCAAGCAAATAAAGGGGGGCATAAGCCCCATAGAGTAGTGAGGCCTCCACATGTGTCTGCCATGCATGTTAGCTCAGAATGGCAGGAATGCAGTATGTGATAGGAGACAAAAACAGAACGGTGATTTTAGGCTTAGACCTACTTTGGATTATTGTGGTCATATTTTTCAGTGTAACGAATGATCTGTGTTTCAGATTCGGTTTCCTTTTGTTTGGTTTTTAAGAAGCCTGTCAGGTACCTGACATCAGTCATAGCATGGGGCTCACAGGAAGACTCACTGTGATCAAAGGGAGATGCTTGACAGGGTTCAAATTCCAAAGCAAGCTTCTTTTCAGATATTTGCCTGTGGGATTAAATGATTTTCTCCCTCTCTTGCATGATTCTTTCAGGTCATAATTTCGGTTTATGCTTACAGAGATGGATACATATGAGAAAGTTTTGGAACCTTTGGAAAAACGATTAAGATCAGATTTCTGTTCTTTTATTTTATTTTACTGGATTTAGTAAATAATGAAAAGCAACTCTCTGCTCTGTACTGCATGGACCTTGTTGTCATACATATGCAATTTTTTTACTTTGTTTTGTTCATTTTAAGGGTTACATTTTTTTTTTCACTCCATTTAAATCCTTTATAAATAGTTGGCTGAACTATTTATATGGTTTTGCTGAGGCGCTAAGATTAGCACCTCTGTAAAAACATGTTTTTGGTGCTTTGGTTTTTGTCACATGAACGATTATTTCTCATGCATTTTTACATCTACGGATCATGTTAGATTTTCCGAAAATACATTTAAAAATTTTTTTTTGTACAACTATGCATGAATAAAAAAGGACATTTAAATCTGACAGAATAATTTAAAAAAATCAGAGCTGAAATTTTTTTTCCATCCATCCATCCGTTTATTTTCAGATACGCTTAATCCCAAGTGGGGTCACAAGGGTACACCCTGGACAGGTCGCCAGTCCCACACATGCTCAGGGATAACATGCAAACTCCATGCAGAAAGACCCCGGGCCAGGAATCAAACCCAGAACCTTATTGCTGCAAGGCAGCAGTGCTACCCACTGCAACACTGAGCAGCCTGCAGTTCTTTTTACCTGAACCATAATTAAATTTTTTTAACGATATCACACTTTTGTATTTGATTTTCCTAATTTACCATAAGCATGTATGTTCCGCTTCATAGTTTCATTGCTCTCATGACCTAGAAATCTTACTTACAGTATCCCTTGTCAGTGCTTATTGCTATTTACATGCATTAATGTAAGTGTTAGCTGAAATTATCTCTTCCTTTGGTATTACTGCCACCTAAGGTGCTGGAGTTAGAAACTCAGTGTCTTACTCTTGTTGTATTTAATGTGACTGTAAAGGAATGCCTCAGCCCTTTCAAAATTGCATGTAATTAAATGTTTTATCATATTGCAATTGCAATGAATAGCCCAACCCTAAAAACATGTTGGCTATTGTGTAAATAATTTGAAAATTGCAAATGAAAATAATTGTAAATGACAAAATATTTCCGCTTTTTTCCATGTGTGGGGTCAGCATTTGGAAAGCAGTTTTTAAAATAAAGCAAACATCATCCAGATGTTGAAGAAAGACTAACATTGAGAAAAATTTTATTTTTTTACTGCAGTCATAGTCTTTGAATAGTTTAGTTGTCTGCGACACACATTGTTTTCCAGACAAGGCCAGACTTGTATTTTCCCATGATCGGTGGTTTCCTTCTAACGGTAATTTACTGATTTACCAGCTACACCTCCCACTGGCAATGTATGAGTTGGAAAAAAAAGTGATTAAATTAGTTTTCCTGTTCAGTCATGAGTGTAATTGTGTCAAATGATCCGATAGTCGTTTTTCTATTTGTCTCATACAGCTTTATTTTTATACTCATCTTTCTCTTTGAATACAGGAGCAGGATCACTCGTCTGCATCAAACTCGACTCTCTTGACATATATAAAATACCTTCCAAGGATGTTTTATGTTTTTAATGAGTGCAGTTGATGATATGGCAATGTGGAATTACAATTTATCATAATTCATTGAAGGCATGATTTCTTTTTTGCTTCACATTGAACAATCTCTCTTATAACTGAACAAAATAAAGAGATTTCTGTTATTTTGCATGGATATGATTTTTTATTAAACCCAAATGAGGACGTGGCATCTGAAGCTTGGTCTAAACAATGGCATCCCTAACCATTCCACTATTGATAATTGTGAACTTTTTTTTTTTTTTAGTAAAGATACAAAGCAAAGACTTAAAACTGTAAAATCTTGTGTGCCGCGGTGTCAGTTGCAACATCTATAATTTTATGCATGAGTCTGATTGCAAGAACTTGTCAAATTAGAACCAGAATTTCAACTTTTACAAGCTCAGTCAAGACAAACTGAATTTAATCTAAGATCCAGCAAGTATTTCTCAAGCCTTGTTGAATGTTCTGCGCTGGGAAGCGTATGCACTAAATGCGATAAACTGATGTAACCTGATAAGTTATCTGCAGAAATGTTAACTTCTAGAAACTGTAACTTCCTAAATGTCTCTTCCTCCAATACTTGTATGTATTTATTTTACTTTAAATTTTACTTTCTTGTTTAAACATTTTTTTGGCAGAGGGAGGGGCTTTGGATGCTTTTTCTCTTTTCATTTGTGAAGAATGGTGTAAAAGCTCACATTAGCTGCCTAGTTTTATTCCGAAAGGGATATTAAAGGGTCAAACTGAAGGAGAGTGAAGATTAAATGGTCCACAGTTTGGAGCTAATTCTCCTCTTGTCTTTGTGCAGACAGTTAAAAAGTGCTCTGAGTGACATTTTTAAGCTCATTATTTTCATGGGTTGTGTATTTTTTTTTTTTTTTGACTTCTAGAAGTTACTTGAAGCCAAAGTTTACTCCAAAGCTTTATCATAGAAAAGTTTTTTTTTTTTTTTTTTTTTGGTTGTAAAATATCTCATATCCAGACCTTTTTATTAAAAGCAAAGAGAATAAATGTTTTAAGCTTCTTGTTTCATGAAGAAAAACAATTAAATTTATTATAAATGCATCTAGTACATCTCATTTTGAAAAATGGCTTTGTGTTGAAATGTTTGAAACCTTTTGGCTTACATTTAAAGGGGAGATTACCTGCTTCCATTACATTCCACTTGGCTCTAAATAACCTCATTAATCTGTTTCCGCTGTTTGAGACGTATGAGTGAGACCGTTTTCCTTTAGGAGAAATCAATTATACAGCGGCTGGACAGGATGGAGCATGTAGAGGAAACAATGTGTGTGTGCTGGAACCCAGCTTACCTGTTGAACAGGAAAGCTTTTGGCACAATTCCCTAGAAAACAGAAAAGTTGGATGGTAAATTTTATCACATGCAGTCTGTTGAGGTGTGATCTGCCCCTCTGCTTTTTTTGGAGGAGATGTAGAGCGTTGATCTATGTGATAGCTGCATAAAAAGATAGCATTTTGTTGCTTTTTAAACTCCCCATGATGAGAAACAGGAGAAAAGGATTCCATATCTGGCAGGAGTTATTCCAGCTTTAATGAAACACCTGGGAACATTTTTGTCAACCCTGTCAACCTCTTTAAAAGCATTAAAAAGACTCATAACTGAGAGATAATTGGATGCTTTGACCCAATCAGCCCTAGCTCCATGTGTAACTACTGTGTATAAACTACTGGGAATGCAGATCATTTGTCCATCTTCTCCAGGCTGATACAGAAAGATGTTAAGGGATTTTTTTTTTATAAAACTGAACTACAACACTTAAGTTATTTTATGACTTACCTTTTAAATCATTGAAACAAATTTTATGCAATTGGTTACTTTCAAATGTGAATCAGATCATTTTTGAACAACTGAAAACATACTTCTCTCCTTGCCCTATGTGTTCTCATGATCATGTTTGTCATGTGTTTGTGTGTTTTCAGAGATCAGGACCCAGCTTGTGGAGCAGCAGAAATGTCTCGACCAGCAGACGGAGATGCGCGTGCAGCTGCTGCAGGACCTTCAGGACTTTTTCAGAAAGAAAGCTGAAATCGAGATGGAGTACTCCAGAAACCTGGAAAAACTGGCAGAGCGCTTCATGGCGAAGACTCGCAGCACCAAGGACCACCAGCAGTACAAGTAGGAAGATGCTACCTTTCTTGTGGTTTTTGGTCTTGATTGGTTGCTGTTAAAGTCAAAGAAACTATAATGTAGTTTTATACAGTTTTTTACCATTTATTGTCAAAGTTGTCTATATAGTAATATATCTGGTAATGGTGCCTTGTTAAATCATTAATAGTGCGTTAATGAGTTATTTAATTGTTCATCTATATCCCAAATTAATGTCTTGAAAATAAGTCACTAAACAACTTTTAATTTAATGTCATCCTAATGCCATCCTAAACTTGTTTGTATAATAGACAATTACTAACTGTGGCTTAAATAAATTTAACTGTTTTTTTAGTTTCTTTACATATTCATATTCATACGCTGGCAAATACATCTGCCTTTTTAGCTGCACATGTTGGGTATACACATTGCTGCATTTATTTATGACTCATGCATCCAAACCCTCTGAAACTTTTGCTGACACCTAAAAAAGGAAATGAAGCCAAACTGTATGATGGGGAAATCGAAGGAGTTTTAATACTGTAAGCTTTTTAAAATATTACACATCAAGGCCTTGTTGTTGCCCCATTGCTAGCTAATGTGTGGCATGCAGTTCACCAAAACGGATCTTTATATATTCAAGAAAAGGCTACTTCTTGGTACATCGTGAAATGTAAAAAGTTCAGAGACGTTTTAAAGTATCTCTCTGAATTTTTTTTTGTTCCCAAAGACTAGATTTATTTTTTGTTTTTCTTGTTTACTCTATTGCCAAATCATCTTGATCTTAAATCCAAATCAGACAAATAATGAAATAAGCGAAAGCCTCCAATATATTCAGCATATTTATTTAAATCTCTGGACTCCTCATTATTAGAGAATTGACATACATACTTTTTTTATAGCTGGGTAAAACATCGTAATATATATTGACATTGCAATATCGGGATAATATCCTATTGTGACCCAAGTATCGTGGCCCATATTGTATCACAACGCACATGCAAATACTCCCCTCTTATATAAAGACATGTTTCCCCTTATACTCCTTTGTGTCTTCCGTTTTAGTGCCATAGGATGATACATTGCCTGATGTAAATATCACTCTGGGATCTCCTTCCTACACATTTAGCCCTAAAAATACACAATGTTATAAGCTGTTAAGGATAGAAATGAAACAGCATCAGCACCAAAGTTTCCCCTCAATAACTATACAGACTTAAACAAGAGAACAAGCAGCAATTTTGTTTGTGCTAATGAAGTTTCACTTTAGCCTGGGTGACATTCCGAACTTAGTCCCGCCCACAACGGTTAAGGTCGGGAAGTTCGAATTCTGACTAGAATTGAGTAGGACTACGTCAGGCTAGTTTCACTCACCTCAGGATGCTTGAAGTTTAACCTGACTGGGCTGATTGCACTCACTTCTGACACCACGTATCTTAGGGATTGTAAATTTGAGATCATACTTGCAGACATTTCTGATCCATAATTATCAGTGCTCTGATGTTGACTGCTGAAAATTCTAAATAGTTTCTGCCAGCTCTCTGGTAGCTGGCTGCAAACTGTGGAAAAGATTTCCTGAACTAAGGCGGGCTGGTCTCATGATACGAAAAATAATGAGACATGTCCCTGCTCAGGAAATCTATTCAAGGTTTAGCAGTTTTTCAGTTTAATCCGTTTAAAGAATAATTATTAATTCCCCCCAAAAAGTAATAATTATATAGATGTAAATACATTAAATAGTTCATAAGAAATAAGGAAAATGAAAATACTGACAGGTGAATTCCTAATTGCTTCACCCACTGTATGCAATTGAACCTCTGCACATGCAAAGGTAAGCAAAGCCCATCCTGACATAGCTGTGCACTTTTAATTCCACCCCCTCAATCCCAGTTTGCAGCCATTATTCACAACAAGATTACATTTGAAGAAGCACAAGTTCCTTAACTTTTAGGAACTGTTTGGCAAAAACAATTAATTTCATCATGTTTGCCCATATGGCAGTTTTTGCTATGCCAATTTACAATTCAACATAGGCAAACAAAGTAATATGAAATACGATGCTAATGGTTATTTGCAGAATTTTCCCAGACTGTTAAAGCTAAGGGAATAAAAACATTTTCTCGATTTCTCTTTACCTTTTTTACGCACCATTGCACATGCATTACTGTCAAACTCTAATTTTTTTCTGTTATTTTTAGTATTTTCTACATAAGCATGGGGAATGGATATCTCATGGAAAAAGCATACATTAGCATATTGTTTAAACTAAGAGCAATGAACAAACGTATAACCCACATTGTCTGTAAATAGCTCCCACTGTCCATTTGAAGCATGGATTGCTTTAGCAGCTGTGTTTAAACCCACGTGAATTACTTGCATAGAGACTGAGGTTTTTTCATTGTGTGATGTACAGTCTGGTCATTTCGTCTGCAAGGTCCACATTTGGCTTCAGGCTTTGAGCCCATTTCTGTTATAAAAATATGACATTGGAAATAAAATTTAAAAACCTTCGTGCAAAGTTTTAAATCATCATTTTTTTTTTTTTACACTCACATAAGCATGTAGACAGTAAGGCCTTTGTGTTCTCAGGCTTAGTTTTGATTGGGCATATTTTTTTGTGTGTAAAAAGGGTGTTTTTGTTTTTCTGCTGCCTCCATAATTCCAAGCCAGTTTTTATAGGGTTTGCACAGTAAAGTGGCAAAATGTTAAAAAAAAAAAAAAAAGGCAGGGATGGAGGTTTCTTCCCAATTGTGTTTTTGTTTCCAGGATTCTTACATGTTTAGTTCTGCAAGAAATTTGTAATTTCAAATTTACTGGAAAGTTTTTTTTTTTTTTTTGGTGAATATTTTGCCTTAAGCAGCCCAAATCCAGCAACAACCGTGAGGTGGGGTTCAATATCTATAAACCAGGGTGCTTTGGACACGATGCAGTGTTTCAACACTGTTGTTGCTTTGCAAGTTTTTTTTTCCCAATAGTTATTTATTCATTTAGATTATATACACTTAATAAATTAAATAAATTCTCAATTTGTGTCGCTGTATGTATTCTCATAAAGATTTCTCCTTATGTAGCCTGCTGGATATAGTAAGTTGAATTTTCAGTGGAACTTTCCAAGTTCTCCAGAATATGATTCATTACCAGGACTTTCTTCCTGTTTCTTCCACTTGTCCAGAAGAAACTGGACCCTGTAAAAACAGAAGCTACAGTAAAACTGCACCTTTGTTTGAGGTTGCGGTTATGTAACTTAACTGATCTTAAGATGACCTGTCGAAATGTTTGTTTTTTCCTTTCCTATAAAACTGCAGGGATTTTCTTTATTTGCATTCGGCACAGTTCATTTAGACAGTAGTTGAAATCAAATACTTCTCTTTACAGAGCCCCTGTGAGCCTCCTCCTACTGGCATTTGTTTGTACGTTGAATTGGTCACAGAGAGAACCACAGGTGGAGGTTGATGCTGCACCTCTCCTGCTACAATTTCTCTTAACAAACCATGTTACTGGTGATGCTTCATAAACATCCACTCGTTGTTTCTTCCTAATGGCCTGCAAGAATCGTTGCTTGGGTTTATTTGTGTCTACAATGACAAAAACTGTTTTGTACTATTGGAATATAGAATAAAAATGCGTATGTTATTACAAAGAGCTCAAACATCTTTCTCACATGGCTTTGAGCTCAGAAAAATATTTTCACACAGTTGGAGTTCAGTCCCTCATCCTCCTCTGGGGTGAAATTAAGGTTGTGTGACTGTCAGAAATCACAGGCTTGCTGACATTTGACAGTTACTGCAATGACTTATTGCTGCAGAGGAATTCATTGTGGTTCTAGGATGTCCTCTCCTGCACCACTAAAATCTTAAAAAAAGAGGGTTAAACGGGTAAGTTGTGAAAAAACTTTAGATAAAAAAAAATGTTCATGTATTTGGAAAAAGATTATCAAGCTCAGTTGAGGTATTTCTCAGCCAGGCTTTGCACATCTAGAGACTACATTCTTTGTGTCTCAATCTTTGCAAAACAGCTGCAGCTCATTCAGATTGATTGGAGAGAGTCTGGTAATATTAAATGAGTGAAAAAACATTTATTTTTTCATAGCAATGTGTACAACATTGCAATCGTAAGTGTTGTTTTCTTTGTTTCGTTATTTCGTTGACACTCCATTTTTTCATGACGACAATGAGTACTGACAACCTTAACATGGATCTTTCATGACGAAAACATGACGACTCATGGTTGTGAGTTTTTGTTGATGAGACAAGACTAAATAAAAACGTTAGTGGTTGGTCTGTCAGACATTTAAATTGCACCATTGTGCTGTAAACTGTTAGTCAAGCTAAGCAGTATCAGCTGTTCTGCTGCGTCTTGTTTGGTCATGCTGTCCACCGCGCGAGCAGCGATGCACATTCTAAATGACGGCAGATAGACCATGGCAGCAGCGGATGGGGTCAAAGTAGGCTGGAATGGTCTGATGCTGCGCACTCAACTATGACAAGCTCTGCTGTTCTAGTTGTACTTGTGCAGAAAATGCATTTTTGTGGAAAAAAAATATGGAGTCTCCTTCAACCCAAAAAATTAAGGGTATGCCGTTTGCAGCCGTTACGTGAGGTAAGATTTTAATACTGGCATTTTTGCTTTATATAGGCAAGAACTGTCAGTCTGGTAAATAATCTGATTGTTATTCGAAATGGTAAAGGTTTACTGTTTTATGAAGTTAACCTTTCTCTTTTTTAGTTTTAGTCGACTAAAACCGACTAAAATGTGACTAAAACTAATTATAGTTTTTGTCCTGAAGACAAAAACCAAGACTAAATCTAAGATGGCTGTCAAAAACAACACTGTCGCCAAAAGATTGCCTATATACAATATTTGCATCTACCTGTCAATAATATAGAAAGTCTATTCGATGGACTTTAATTGCCCTTTAGTTCATATTTTCTTTACGGCTAAAAGGCTGACATTCACAACGAGTTGTGGGAAAGAAGAAAAAGAGGGTAAAATAGAAATTACTGTTAATATAAATTCCTGTTGATTTCAAT